ATCTTCTTCCACGTCAGCTTTTAGTTCGTACAAGATATCATAACATTCATTTAATAACGCCGCGATTATGCCTTGACCTTCTGGTATAGATCCATCATCATCGATAAATTTCCCATCTACTCGAAGATTATCAATTGATGCAAGTTTCATCTGATATGGATAAAGTTCTCTTGCTATCAAAAAAAAAATAAAAAATAGAGAAGTGGAGGAATAAAGAAAGAAAAAAAAATTATTAACAAATACAAAATATATTTGTATTTATTTGTTTTAATTTACCTGTAAATGGAGTACCAAATTTTTTTATTTCTTTTAAAAATTTTCGTACTGTTTGAAGTTGATTATGAATTGGCATTAAAGGTTCGGCAATTGGTTCACTAGAACTAAGAAGCTTATATATTAAACGGTAACATTTATGCAGTAAATAAAGGAGCACCTAAGAATAATAACAAAAGAAAGATATTGTTATTATAAACTTTTCCCCAAAAAAATAATAGCAACAATAATAATGTTAATAATAATTACCGTTTGACCTTCAGGAACATTTCCGTCCTTGTCATAAAATTTTCCATCTTTTCTCATATTATCAATTTCTGTTAATTGTATTTGATACATCCATAAATCTGTTTCTCTTAATGTCCAACGATGAGTTAAAACCAAATTTTCAAGTTGTGACTTGAGTTCAATTAATCGATCATATATATGTTTTAAAGTTCCTGCTACACAATCTTGGGTAACAATCAATTCATGTACATGCTCGTAACACTCTTCCAAAAGAGAAATTACTTGAGCTTGTCCTGTTGGAATCGAGTCGTCCGATGCCATAAATTTACCATCTATTCGTTTAGAATCGATTTCACGGAGTTCATCCTGGATAAGTCGAATATCATTTGATTGAGAACCAGACAACCCAAGATCTCCAAGAAGTCTTTTGATTTCTACAAGTCGTTGATGTACAGGTAAAAGTTCATCACTGATATTAGATTCTGATTCTCTGAGCATTTTCAATGTTTCCTCTATATAAAAAAGCGTATATGTATGTATATAAACAATATAAAACAATATAAAAAAAATAATAGTAGAATAACAATAAATTTTCTACCACAAGATAATAGTTTTTGTTTCAATAATTTTGATATAACATTATTTTCTTCATTTGTAATGATTTTCTTCATCTCTTCTAACCGACTCTCATAAGGTATTAATTCATCTCATAATGAAATTTTATTTAATCATTTGATTAATTGATTGATTGATTAAATACTTGATTATTATTTAATAATA